AGTTGTTACTGCAGAAGTATTTTCCGGATGTTTGGAATTTGTTTTTACGCTTTTCGGTAGTAGAGAGATTTTATAATATTCTAACTTTTTCTTTAAAAAGTTTCAAAAATTTCGATTACAAAGCGAATATTTTAAAATTTGGGAGTATACGAATACTCGTATACGCACCCACNACCCCCCCCCCCCCCCCCCCCCCCCCCCCCCGTTTTGGAAAGGGGGATAGCTGAACTCGCCATTTAGGCGAGCTGCGCCTACGTATTCCTTTCGGAAATCAAGCCATCTCGTAGTTCTGATTGTTGCTGTGAGTATGTTTACTCGGCTGTAATAGACTTCTCGATCGCTTTAGTCACTGGATCGGCGTCTTGGCCCGGGTTTGTCTCCTCCGGTTGGGTAGAAGCGATGGGTGCAGAAGGTTTTTCTTCTCAACCATTGCTGGTTGTGGGTCGTTTTCCGCGGGCAACAGTGTGAACTTCGCCCGTTTCGGTTTCACGATTGCGACCGCCAATTGCCTTAGCTTATGTTCAGCTAAAAAATTAAGATAGCTATTGTCTTTGGCAACCCCAAATTTCCGCGACTCCCATAGGTGTCGGAAACTTGATGCCTAAGTGGTATGTCGACAGAACTGCCTTCATGGAGTTTATCCAAGGTGTGCCCATGATCACATTGTAGATAGCTAGGGAATCGACGAATGCGAAGTTGACGATTTTCGCACTTCTTTCGCGGAGACCGGAAGTCGGATAGATCGTAGAGTCATAGCCGTTTCACCGGAAAAACTGGCCAACGGCTTTGGAATTGGCTCGATCTCAGTTAAATAGATTCTCATGCGCGCCAACGTGTTGTGGAAGATTACGTTGACAGTGCTTCTGGTGTTGACAAGGATACGAGCGACTTCTAAGTCGCTTATGACTAAGTCGATGACGACAGGATCGGCGTGTGGTTGATCGATCCCGCCGGTTTCTGCGTCATCGAAAGAGATCACCCCCTTCGGTGTGTTATCGAATGGTACATTCTAACTTGAGCCGGTTTCAGATTTTCGTTGGTAGGACTTGACAGATGAGATGGTATCGCTGTAGTATTGCGATTCGCCGATGATCATATTTGTTGGGGGCAAAATCAGTACGACGGAATCAATAGCCAAAACTTTTCGTAAAAATACTAAACACATTTTATAAAAATCGAGAAGTTGTTTTATAAAACTAGAGTTTTATAAAACTCGAGAAGTCGTTTTATAACACTCGAGAAGTCGTTTTATAAAATTCGAGAAATCGTTTTAAACGAAACACCGAACATTGCCTAAACTATACGAGTTACTTGAGATTTTCGTGAGAAATCGTGAAAAGCCGTTTTTAGTAAAGCATCGAGTAAATCGTAGAAAACGGCAACAATTAACCGAAACATCAAACATTGCCAAACTTTACGATTAACTCGAGAAACTTATTTAAAAAAGCCATCGCATCAGAAAATGATCTCGTATAAAGTCGTAAAACGGTTTTACCACAAAATGGCTCGAAAGAACCTAAAACGCGATAAAAGCCAATCTTGCGACTTTAACGAAATCTAACCCGAAGATACGACGACATTTTGATGATTTACTCGCAGAAAGAAGATAAATGTCAAATTTGAAGATAAATATCAAGTTTGAGGATAAGTAGAAGATTTCCGTGGAAAAAAAGGAAAGATAGAGATAAATGGAGGATTCCCGATAAACTCGAATCTTGGCGAAATGGAAGGACCAAACGGCCAAGGAAGGGAGTATATAAGCAGGAGGCGTAGGGCAGAAGCAGAGGACGAGTTTTCAGAGCTTTCAGAGCTTTCACCACCAAACTTAGCCTTTAGGGAATATTCCGTTTTCGTTATCGAGCTACGTCTCAACTAGGGTTTTTAGTCTTAGATTGCTAGGGTTAGGAATCTTGCCGACGGCTCACGCAGCTAAGGCTACTCTTGTTCTACCGTTCTTACGCGAATTCGGAATAAGAATCCTTTTTCTCTCAATCTCCTTTTTTCTTAACATCTTTTTAAATTAATTCATATTAATCGCGTTCTTGGTTGCTTTTGTGCGGTTCCGCAGATAGCCGGGTCCTCTGGGAACTTAGGGTTTACTCAAAGTTCCCTTATTTACGCAATCTTGACAGTAGGTGAATTTCGGTTCCCACAGTTTGGCGCTAGANGGGGGGGGGGGTCGGACGTATCTTACACTCAAGCCGCAGCACGCTCAATCGAGAAATGATGACTAGTGACAACCAAACTCGCGACGAAAACGATAACGTTGATAAAACACTACAACCACAAGATGCGCCCACGGCCAACGCTACAGACGCTAATGCCGAGACCATCGAAAAGATGCTCTCCGATTTTAATAAAAAATTGGAAGAGCAGGAAAAACTCATTGGTTCACTCGCAAAACAGGTCAAAACCTTAAATGCAAAAACCAGAGCAATTCGCCCCCGCGGAACTACTAAGATCCGCGGAAGGAGACTCAACTTCGCGACTCCTATGGATCGCCTCAGAACAGAGCAGGGAAATCAGACGGAGAAAGATTCCGAAAAAGATGACCCTGACGCGACGCTGAACGAATCGGAAAAATCTCCTACTCGTGGACAGGAGACCGAGGCAGGCGGAATCGAAAGGGTTAACCTGGAAACGAGCGACCAAGCCGACTCGTCGGACGAGGACGCGGACCTCAATCATAGGAGAAGAAAAACTCGCAGCCCTCTACCGGAGTCTTCTTGCGAGCGTTCTCTTACTGGAGACGAAGAAGAGCTCTATTTTACGCAACGCGCTAAAACGGCCGAGGAACAATCTCTAGTTACTCGCAGAAAACACCGACAAGGTCGGAAATCTGCTGGCGGCTTAACAGAGATCCGCAATCTCCGCGATTATATCACTAAAACGGCCGTAGCAGTGAAAGCGGTGAAATCCCAAATTCACCACGCTACCAGCGCCATGCCTGAAATCGATCAGCTTCTATACGAATCTTGGAAAACGCCTTTTACGGCCCGCATCACCGAGACCAAGCTACCTGATTCAGGAAAGCACAAGGTGCCAACTTACGACAGGACGACTGATGCCAAAGCGCACCTACAGGCCTTCCAGATTACCATGGGACGAGCCAAGCTCAAGGATCGGTCATCTTATATAGCAGATGGTGTCTGATTATATAGTAGGTACAAGAAATTTGACATAACATAATATTCGTTGCGATAACTAGTGTCCTATATGTGAAGAGTCTGATGAATTAGTTAATAGTTCTATTTTGAATGTGCACCTACATTGCAATCTTGGACACTCGCATCAACACTTTTGTGTCCAGGAATTTTCCCATCTGCAAACGTTTTTATAAACATGAACTGTCTCTTCTTGAGAAATAATGAAATTGAAGACTCTGAACTAGACAAAGATCCTTACCCATGGATTATTTGGTTTCTGTGGAAAATACGAAATGACAAATTCTTTATTTCGAGGGATCCATTAGAGTTGATTAGACATGCTGAGAGTAAATGTAATACTTGGTATAATGCAAAACATGAAACCCATTGAGGCAGATAAATCTACACAAATAAATAAACAAGTTCTAAGCACGGGAAAAAATATGTTTGGTGGATAAATCTTGGGGGTATAAGACAAGAAGGGATCGAAAGGACTCTCCCAGGCACGCTCTCCCATGCAACTCCCAACTTGTCAACGCATTTTGAATTAGGACAGTGACCTCTCAAAGTGTTACCAAGTTTGGAAAGAACCCGCTGGTCCGTTCCTTGTAACCTTTTGGAAGCCCTACTTCCCTTCCTCTTCTAGCATCCTCCAAGAACTTGCTCCCCTCTCGTCTTCAAGCCACAAGCTTTTCTTCACTTAAAGATCAACCATTCCAGCCCCAGTATTGCTTCCTCACGATCCCCAACCTCTACTGTATCTTCTGGCCGCTGTTTGTTTTTCCCTACGAAGATTTTCTCCAGAAAACATGTCTCAACGTTTCTCTAGGGAAGAAAAAGGGAAGAATCTCAAGGAGGAGACGATAGAACCTCTCATTAAACGTATCAAAGCCCCCAGTGTTGACAACTCAGCTCTTATCAAGGACAATGAGCTACCCCTGATTGGAAGAGTAACCAATCCAAAAGAGCAGAGAATCTGGGCTCTCATTCCTGGCCTCCCACGTAAATGGCATCTCCGTGGTAGTGTCCAAGGATCTGACCTGGGAAACGGCTTTTTTCAGTTCAGGTTTGAGAAAGCAGAAGATCTAAGAAGGTTTCTGGATGGCAGACCTTACCACTTCGCGTACTGGATGGTCATCCTCCAGAGGTGGGAACCGGTCATCTCATCATCTTTCCCCTCTCAGATTCCCTTCTAGATTCGCATTAAAGGTCTCCCTCTACACTTCTGGCACGAAGTGATGATTTGTGACATAGGAAAGGATTTGGGCACTCTACTAAACCATGAGCTAACAAAAACGTCAGCGAGAGTTCAGGTGATGATAGATGGCCTTAAACCTCTAGTCAAACAAGCCATTGTTGAGTTCGACTCTGGAGAAGAAAGTTTGATTCATCTGGATTACGAAAAATTGGAAAATCACTGCTCTGTTTGCAACGCACTGTCTCATTTGAAGGATGACTGCCCCGGCGTGGTAGAAGACACTCAAGAACTACGACACCATCTCAAAGGAAGATCAACATCGTTTCGACAGGAGAAATCCCAACCAGTTAACCCCAAATTCCTCCTCCTATCTTCTCAAGACCAGTATACCGGTGCTCAACCCCTGGAAGAAAGAAAACACACCGATGTCTTGCAGAGGAGTATTAGTGCGGATTCACGGTCCCGTACCCCCTTCACAGCAGGGTTGACAGACACGGGAAGCCTTTCGGGGAAAGAGTTGTGTCCACACAAACAAGATTACCCCCTCAGTCTGTAGGAGGGACTCAAAAAAGGGACCCGACAACATCTTGGACAAAATCTTCGGATCCTCGAGACTTGGAACCTCTCAGATACACTTCTCCTCCTTACTCAACTAGAAGAGACTCACTTAGAAAGGGAGAACATCAAAACCAGACTTCTTTCCCCAAGAGAGATCTAAAAGAATGGAGAGTTAAACCTCATGCCACGCTATCTACTTATCGGAGAGGTATCGACAAGCCAATTAATCTCCCACAGCCTAGATCCGCTGGAAAGGTGAACCCAGTGGTGGTTCCGACGGGGGCACAACAGCGTGAAGAGAATACCTCAACGAGCCCTGCAGAAGGATGTAATGGTCATCGATATGTTCTAGCTCAACTAGAAGAGAATGCTGCTTTTCAGACTGCCCACGAGAGAACAATGGAAGAGCTACAGCAACTCACACGGAAGTACCTGAGCTGTCCGGATCGTGTGCAAGCTGAAGCACGAAAATTGAGAGTCCTTGAGGAGGACGCAGCAGGGGATATGGATAGATGCGCGGCCACCCTAGTGGCTCAAGCTTTTAACCTTTCCCAAGAACAGACAGTCGCCGGAGAAGGGAATCAGCTGCTGTCCAAGGAGACCATCTTAGGACAGCTGAGCCAGGCGACGAGACTCTACTTGAGTCATCCTGATCCGAAGGAAGCCGCAGCAAGACGCCTGAGAGTTCACCTTGACGATGATTAACGCTCAATGAAAGAGACCGCAGTTAAAATCATGGCAGCTAATTTAGCTACTCACCAAGCATCGTCAGCATGGCATAGACTACTGGATAGTAACCCCAACACGCCTCCTCCCTTGAATGCGGCTCCAAATTATGATTGGCTCCTTCCTGACCCTGAGCTTGATTATTTGGCTAAAGGCCCTGGAGAGTTTCCTGAGCAGAACTCAGCAGCCAACTCCAGTAATGACGGGATCAACCAAGGGCAACAAGGTGCTGTCGTGGAGCCTGCAAAATTAAAATCGTTAGTTATTTATCAAGAAGCAAATAAGGAAGTCTCTTCCCGACACTCTCCAGACCAACCAACGGCTATTGGAACCACTGACGCTACTCTGAATCATATGACAAAACCAAAGAGAAGGTCCACCAAACCGTCGAAAAGAAAGTCACCGAGAACTAGCCCTAATATCCTTCGTGGAACAAGCTCAAAAATCAGGAAAATATCACAGCTGCAAGCAACACCTAAATCTACTACAGGAGATAGAGACAAAGGCCCATCTAGTGGACAACAAAAGGCGGCTAGGACAAGAGAGTTGGGTGGCACTTCAGGGGAAGCAGGAAATCCTCCAATATAGCTAATCCCAGCGGTGTCTAAGAAGAGGACGGATTTTCGGCCTCTTCCACACCAGGATCCTTAGCCATTCTCAGCTGGAACTGTTGTGGTTTAGGGAACCCCATAACAGTCCAGCGACTAAAGGAGATCCACCGTAGGAACTCTCCCGACATTACCTTCCTCATGGAAACCAAAAACCTTAATGAGATGGTAGAAAAAGAGCTTCACTGGCTCCAGGACCAAAACCATATCCTAATCCCTTTTCATTCCCCTGGAGGAGGCGGTCTATGCTTAAGTTGGAAAAAGGATATCGACCTAACTATCCTATCATCGACTCAGAACTACATTGATACAGAGATAACTTCAAAAGGAATCGTTTTTCATGCAACCTTCATTTACGGTGAACCTGATCATTCTAAGCGTAATGCGGGTTGGGACACTCTCACCACGCTTAAGCTTAACTCGGGAGGTCCCTGGTTCCTAACTGGGGATTTCAATGAACTGGTGGATAACAGTGAGAAAACTGGAGGACCAGAAAGGGCAGAGGGTTCTTTTGGAGCTTTTCGAGCCTTCGTGTCACAAAACGACCTATTTGAGTTAAAACACACAGGGGATTTTCTGTCTTGAAGAGGAAAGAGAGGGACTCACCTGATCCGATGCAGATTGGATAGAGCGATGAGTAATCCTGAGTGGACGGACTTGTTTCCCTCCTGTCGCTGCAGATACCTCAAGTTTGAGGGTTCCGATCATTGTCCTATTATCTCCTTCCTGGACACAACGAAAAGTAAAGGTCAACATCTGTTATGTTACGATAGAAGACTCAAAGATAACTTACAATGTCGAGGAGTTCTGGTTGATGCGGTATGTCCCCGGTGTAAAGAACCAGAGAATGCAATACACGTTTTCTTCATTTGCCCCTTTGCCAAAGAAGTCTGGAAACAAGTGCCAATCAATCAATCAGTTCACATAGCTGAGGATATGGATTTCAAGAAAGTATTGACCCTGTTTAGAAGCGTGATCTGCTTACCTCCCGTGGGGATAACATTCAGTATTCTCCCGTGGATCTGTTGGGTCCTCTGGAATGGCCGTAACAGGCTCATTTTAGATAACAAGACGACGACACCAAGAGAGATGGCAAGCAATGGTCTCTGTCTGGCTCGGGAATGGGAACTCGCACAATCCTCATCACCGATCCAAAGTATCAGACCGCCGACTGCAGGCTCGGCCCCCCCTCCACGACTCTTCATCCAAGGAGCCACAACAATCTTCACCGACGCCGCCTGGAATGCTACAGAGTGTAAAGCGGGAGTAGCGTTTTTTTCTGAGATATGCTCATCAACACCAGGTGGAATCAGGTTCCCATCTCTTTACATCGGTGACCTCACCATTGATGGCGGAAGCTTTGGACCTGAGATTAGGAATCGTCACCGCAGATTCAAAAGGAATTGCAAACGTCGTCGTCCTATCAGACTGCTTAACGCTCATAAGAGCAATCAACCTCAAGCTACATGTCAAGGAGATCTACGGCATCTTGAAAGATATCGATCACCTCTCCTCCGACTTTGCTTCTATCGCCTTTTTCCACATCCCTCAATCTCAGAACAGAGATGCTGATGATCTTGCTAAACAGGCTCTTAAGGCCCGTTCTTTTCTTTCTTCTGTAATCTTTTGTCCTTTGGGCTAGCCCAGTCGGGCCCAGACTTCTCTTTTAAATGAATGAATGTGTTTCAAAAAAAAAAGGTGGATAAATCTTGGGTAGCTGATGCAAATTGAGTGGATAGGGTTCGGTTTGGAGGGATAGATCAGGAAATGAGCAACTCATAGGAATGAAAAAACAAAGAAAATCGTATGTCTTTTTTGCACTCAGAAAGGGAGACACTAATCTAAGCAATGGAGAGCATATGACAAAACACAGATTGCAAAAATTTAATATTGATGATCTAGGATGCGAAAGATTGCCCGAATATTTCCACGGAGCTAGGAGTGTTTGATTTACTGAAGAGAAGATTTCCAGCATTCAAGATATCTTACATACCAAGGGCGTAAAATCGAAAATCAGAGGGTTTAACTAAGATTACTCGTAATTTCTATCATGATTATTCTCTCGTTGGTTGTTCTTTTCCGATTTGGATTCCCGGACCATATAAAGTTTGAGTAATAGAATAGTCATTTGATGTTATAAGTTCGACGCCTTCCTGATATTTTTAAAATATTACGGGCCACCCGACCAAAACTGTCCCAAAAGAATCTCATGGTTAGTGGGGTTTCCTGTAGTTTTAAAAACCCGATAATAAATAAAAATATTAATAAATATAAATACGCATATATGTATTCTATGATCCTATGGGTAGAACTCTCCATTGGAGATGCTCTTAGTCTCAAATCTACAGGAGAGAACGTAAATATTTTTCATGATCTTATTGAAAATATATTTTCTTTTATTTTTTGGGTAAAATGTTAAATTATTATACCAATTTTTGAATTTTGACAAAAATTACACGGTAACAAGTAGCGGAATTTGATAATGAAACTAAACCACTGATTGTAAACGAAATGAAATAAAACTCAAAAATAGCAAGACAAAATGAAAGAGCCAGATTAGCTACGAGTCAAGCTAGAACCTTACAAACCAAGAGATACATAGAGAAATATGCGCCCTTAAATCTTGAAACATCGGCTCATGCAGCTTCCGACCGCTCTGCCAAAACAATATCCGGATAAAGAATTCGAACAAACTCACAACACCAACAGCTAAAACGTCCGATGGCACGAAGAAATACCGAGTGGCGATGCCATCATTTGTCAAGTCGTCGTGGAGCTTGCCGCCTCTCTTCCAACTTGAAATGACCGTTTACACTCATTAAACCGAAATTCTAAATTGAGATAGATGACCGAAAGATTGCTAACCCTCCGAAAGCTTAGCTGCAGAATAACGAGCCGTCCACTAGACCAAACTGCACAAGAACATGAACAAGGTCCAAGCCAACTAACGACCTCATCCAAGAGACATTATACCATATTTGAGAGAGATGAAGGCGTGGAGGGCTCATGATATGGCTCAGACCACGCCGGAACCACCGGAAGCTGCCCTGAAGAATAACATGAAGAACTAAGAACATATCTGAGATGCGGGAGCTGCCACACCACGCACCACCGTGAGCATTAACCAACCCCACCTTTATATTAATTTGAACTTTCTTCTACTTCTTCGTTATTTTTTTTTATTTTCTTCATTTTAAATCCATATCAATTTCTTAAAATCACCTTCCTTTTTATTTATCCCAAATCAAACAACACAACATTATACTCAATCAGTTCTCTACCATCCGAATCAAATTTACATCTTCAACAGACTAGATTCACGTAAAAAATCATAGTACTACTAATACAACTAGAATAAGTACAACTTAGACGAGTATTCCTCGTATAACTAGTACAACTAAAGCAAGTATAACTAATATAACTGGTACATCTAGAGCAAGTATAACTATTATAACCATTTTAACTATAACACATATAATTAGTATAATTATACAACTTTTTATAACTTAAACAACTTTGCAAAGTTTGTTCAGGTAACTTATAAGCAGAACATTTATTATGTCAAATCATTGTTTGATTGATGGCCGTGAAAGTTATGTGATGTGATAATGATTTTTTTAATTAGTTGTATTAGTTTTACTATTTTCGATAAAATCATTTCATCCTCTTTGCACCAGAAACGGAAGAAGATTGTTGGGGATATGAAAAATATGCAGTATAAGAGGATTTAGAAGAGTTTACTGGAAAATATGATGTATAATCCATCACGAGATCGAAGAGGATCCATAAGTATTTATGTGTGGTGTTTTGCTTGTGTTTTGAATGAGTTATGCTATGTTCAACTGGATTGTTGTTTTATGTCTTGAACTCGTATTGTGTTCTTATACTTGAATTTTTTTGTATTTTTTTTTTTTTTTTGTAAATACGTGGTATAACTAGTTTGCTAATTTAACTATGGCGATAATACTCAAACTTAATCTCTACTTTTTATATAACTGGTCTAATTGGTATAACTAAGATATTTTAATAACAAACAGTGAAAATATATATACTGTATGTTGGACATGCTTAAAAAGATTTTAAGATTATCAACAGAGATATTTTTCCTTCGAAAGAATGAAAGCAACCAGCCATTTGATGTCAAAAAAAAAAGAATGAAAGCAATCACAAATTTAGAAGAAATTGGATTATGTATGATCTGTATAACTGGTACAGTTTGTATTTTGACTGTGTAATTAAAAATCCTAGTTGTACCAAACACAAAATATAATTGTATCAGTTATACCCCTTATTTATATGTCTATATTATGTTTAACATATTCTGGAATCATAAATATGTTTGGTGTATGTGTTTCTAAAATAATGTAGCTAAGCAAGTAAACAAACCTTAAATTATAAGGTAAATCATGTAAATTTGTGGGTGGTGTAGTAATTGTCATAAGATTTTTTACAAAACTTTAAATAAATTAAGAGAAAACCTTATGACCACTTACCAATTTTGATATTTGATTATTGTTTCTTATGAAATATCTGATTGGTTTTGTCAATTTTTGAAATGATAAAGTCAAACTAGTTGTTTTAGTAATATCAATCTGATGTATCATGAAAAGTTATACCACATTTATAGATAATACCAATTATTTATATGGACTATTTGCAAAATTGACTCAAAACATGAAGTCAACCTCAAAATTAACATATATTTTTTCTGGATTTTTCTTTTGTCCTATTCACTCCACAAGTTCGCATTATTTACGAAAATTTCATTAGTTTTTTTCGAAAATGGGTTTTTTTACTCTTTCAACCTCACCATCTTCAAGTATTTACAAAATTGTCATTGCCATCAATACACAAACCACCATGAACAACCAATTTGAAGCTCTTAATGCACCTCAAATCGATTTACACTTCTTCTTTCTCAATTCTTATGAACAAAAAACAACATCTCTTTCACTTGCTTTCCATATTCATCCAAAAGAA